CTATACATAACATTGAGCTTCTATTGCAATTGGATAATCGTTAGCTCGAATTGATGATAGTCATGGGATGGAAATGACCTTTTCGACTTTTCATTAATAATATACTTTCTTATATTTACTTACATTATTATCGTTACAAATGGTCTACTTTCTTTGTGCTATAATGTTTGCTTGTTTTATTTGCTCTCGTCCAATGTCCAAAGTGTTTACTTCAGTAATGTTCACATTATTTATTCTCTTCTGCTCCTCTTGGCTTCCTATCCTGGTAATAATATCGAAAGTGGAAAGGCAAAATCGCTTGTTATACGCCAATTTCATCGAAAATGAGTTATACATATATCATTGGAATAACCTTTTTTCTACGTCGTCCTGTTTATGTTTCAGAAAGATATGAGCCCTCATTAAGCGCTTAAGCAGCTCAATCTTTAGTTTTTTTTAAAGTTCATAACATCAAAAAAAAATGTAAAAACACTTATGACCTCGTTTCTAAAAAGTTACTGAAGTGTATATTTTCTACTGTCTAATGGACATTTCTGTGTGCGCAACTATTTCTTCCCGAGTCGTGGTTGTTTACAATAGTTACTTCATTAACATTCTTCAAAAGGATGATCCCTTGTAACTAGCAACTAGCTAGCTCAAGATTATATAGTATTATATTCATTAGTATTAACTTTGCCTATTTACTCTGACACACTATGAGATCTATTCGGTACTTCAAATCAGATTCCTTGTCTCAGCAAGTAACAAAGACAGCAAACAGTTATTTCAAGGCCGCATGCTCAACTAAATCTCTTGGCTAAGTTAGCAAAGCAGAAGTACCTACTCTACGACCGTAGTCTTGAGGCATTCCCTTTGTGGATTAAATAATTTAATGTTTGTTCCTAGGGTTCCAAGTCAACAAGGACCCTTACAGTTTTGCTATGTCCATCCGTACATAGCAAAACTGTAAGGGTCCTTGTTGACAACTATTACAATAGTTAGCTTTACAAAACTTAGAATAGTCGGTTCAGCAGTATTTGACGAACAACAAAACCGACTCGTAATAATTACTGTCGAACATTCATCTACATATATTCGATTTTACCACTCGATTAAGTGCGGACGCGAGTTGAGAGACATTTGACAAATAGGTATTTGAAAAAATTATTGCTTGCGCATTGGCAAATACCTATTACATAGGGACAACAGCAGCTAACGCTGAAATTTGCAAATAAAAATTGCAAAATTGGAGGTTTGGCTCTCGACGATTTCCTCCTCGAAAATTAAATTTAAATGAAAGAAATTTTACCAATAGAATAATAAGCAGTTATGCCATGCTTCTATGTTTGACTTTTTTTTGTAAATGCTTATTGAATTTCCACGCTAGATGTCTTAATGGGTGATAAAAATTTGTTTATTTTTGGCATTTTTGATAGCTTCTAGTTTCTTTGAATCACAAGTTATCGAAAAAAGGAAGACATAAGAGCATTGAATAAGTAAAATTATATTTTATGTATAAAAATAATTTCTTTACTGAAAAAAATCAAGCAGGAATCAGTCGAGAACGTTTGTATGGAAAAAACTTTGCCCGCCTCCCCTCTTAATGCCGGGCCGCTTATGCGTGTACAAATATTTCGGCGACTAACTTTAACTTGAATAGATTTGGCCACGGGGATGAAATGGTTGTATCAGCAATTATGCAGAAAAATGTTGAATAATCACCATGTCGATTCAGACAAATCTTCGAGAGCCACTTGAATGGGTCCCATTCATTTAACATATAGCATTGAACCTACAGATTTAAATTATACCGTGGAGAGACGACTGTTATTCACAATATATTCAAATTGAATAAATAAAAAAGAGGTTTAGGTTTGACTAATATTTCGGTAGCTCCCACGTAAGTTGTTGTAAGCCACAAAAATGACATTTCGCGTTTTTATTGCAAACAATCCTAATTTGCATCGTTATTGAACGTCAATATCGACTTATTTTAAAACTAATTTTTATACACTTAAGAAAGTTCAGTGTTATAAATTTTATAGAAATATTAATAGTTTTACAGAAGCAAAAATCACAGATGAAAAAACATAAACAGTAAGTTATCGCAACAACTCCTAGACAAATATGAAAAAAAAACAATGAAGTTATATATTAGAAAACAGCACATACGTAGCTGTTATAAAGATATTTAACCACTTACCTGTATGTATTTAATCTGCAAATGGCATTCAATTCAAAAATAAAATAAAAAAATTGGATAATTGAAAAAAGTTTTTATAATCTTAAGGAATTTTATGACAGTAAATCTTACTGATTTTATTTTTAATTAATTATAATAGATCATAATTTTATTTTTATATTGATTGAATGCATATTATAATTTTAACATATGAAATTAATTTTAATTGAATATTATTATTATTTACTTTAATTTGAATTTTTGACATTGTAAAAGAATTTTAATTAACTATGGACATTGTACGTCCGAAATGGGCAGACTGTTTGGATCTGTATTTTAATACATAATGTTACCACCTTATTGTACCCAGTTTAAACAATGAATAAATGAATCTGAATTTGAATCTGAAAATCCCTCGCTGTGACTTTTGATTTCCTAAATATCATTACTGCACCGCATGGCCAACTGAATATTATAATACAAGCCGAAAAAATCTTCGGTTTAAATTTTACTGTGTTGAATCAAAGTGTAGGGATTAATGTATTAGGTATTGAGCTGTCTTTCTCATTTTATACAGAGAATGTATGAGCAGAGTTCACAATATTTAGATTCTGGTCTCGTACATGTATATTGCCTTTCTCGAAATAAGGTCATTGCCAAGCAAAAAATGACATTGTTCACGCTTGAATTGAATGGTAACATGTAAACAAACCTATTTAGACACCTCTGGAATGGTTTGAATTGGTGAGATGGGCTAAACAGGCTGAAAATACATCATTTGTAGTTACCCTACAGCCGACTGTGACTACCCTACCCTACTGACTAAAACTCAGCTTGTGGTTATTGCCTCTGGCCTTAAAGTTGAGAGAGAATAGCGGATTTTCCACTCGAATTGGAGCGCCCGTCTGGGGAAGTAACCTCCACCTTACAGAAGACCACAGTAAAATAACTACCTTTTGGCGGTATTGTGTTTCTGTCGGTGATTAAGGTTTCTGGGCTCCACGGGGTAGGAAATGGGGAAGGCAACGACGTTAAGCCGTTGGTCCCGGCTGCATCTGGGCCCGCATGGTGGGTCATGGCCCAATCTCCCTATTCCATCCATAGGGAAGTCCTGTGTCCCAGCAGTGGGGACATTAATAGGCTGATGATGAATGATGAATGAAAGCATCTATAGGCTATGGATTGATGGCCGCTTACCATCAGGCGAGATATATGCTTGTTTGCCACCCTTTTAACAGAAAAAAGGCCGAGCGGCTACTGAGAAGAGAACGATTTTGACTGCCTCTTATTGGAGTCGGTATTTTTATAATATAAACATTTTTGTCCCATTATTACGTTTAAGTCGTTATAAGCTCGGAATGAAATAGTATTTTAATAAAAACTTGACAGTAAAGTCATGTTAGATTACTTAGGTAATTAGTTGCGAAGTTTATGTATGCGCGAACTTCATTATCCATTAATGTCAGTGCAAGTTCCGTCGTTAGCTTACACAAAGTAAGAAGTTCAAGTTTTAGCAAGTTTATTTTGATCCCAGAGCTATCAGCTGTGAGTGCTCTCCAAATAGGTGCCAAAGAGTTCGTGAAGAAATTTTCTCCGCAATAGTCAATTAAGTCGAAATTTTAATTAACCTTAATATTAATAGTTATGAAGTTATCAGAAAGAACAATAGAATTTCACATAGATGAAAACTTGTGCAAACCAGGCTAGATTCAGTTGTTATATTTTAAGTTTTTCTTATTGACGTACACAAAAAATATCACTTATAGTTGGTAGCACTATGAGTACTTAGGTACTAAACAATTGGAAATATTTTTCCTTTGTTAACTAACCGTGTTTCCCAAAAAAAAAAATTAAAATTATGAATTACCCTATTAAATCAAACTTTGGACTGCAAACAATATTTAAAAATTCTGTTTAATAAAATAATTGTTACGATTAAAATTTATTTTGATGTTAAGAATGAATGCTTGCCTTTGGGATGTTTTTTATATTTCGGGTGTTAAGTATCTATTCTCGTTGGCAGAATGACAATGACGAATGGATATTCGAAGAATAATTACCGTGTTCCCTATTTGTTACATTCAGTAGTGGGGAATGGGTAAAAGACAAATGTTTAAATTATGCACAGTAGTATTTATTGAGGTTTTCCCAAAGGATGTACAGCAGGAGATTGTTCAAAAGTAGCGTAAAGTAGTTTACATTAGTTTGGCAACGCGCGTATGATACTCCTCCTGGTGTGGTAGGCGTCTATCGGCCACGGTGACCGCTTACCGACAGGTGGAACGTATGTTTGTCTTCCATATGTTAGAAAATAAATACACAAATAGAACGTGTACTTCCAGCATCATAGCATTTTATGTCTCTTTCTAAAACTATGTTCACTTGGAAATTCAGTAGTATAATGATATTTAGGCCCAGTTGCACATAAGTCGTTAAATCAAATGTAAAATCTATGAAAGAAAGAAAAACATTTATTGACGACATACATTAACAATTAACAATAAATACAAATCAAACATAAAACAAAAGGTACATCGTCAATTAGGCCCCACCTCAGCATAATGTTGCGACGGCAAAAATGGATTGCCTCTGCAACGCTGATATTCTAGAGGGACCTAATTTGGGCATCAACGGACGGAGAGCTAAGCATATTTAAGCCTCATTCAATCTCTATTAGACTTTAAATAAATTGTCAAAGATGGAATGATGCGTTCAACAGGATTAAACTTTATAGAATGTTGGTGCAAGTGGACCTTAATCTTGATAGTATTTAATGATTACACAACATTGAAAATTTCGAAGTTTTGAACGAAAATGTTGTCCAATAAATTATCAACAGAGAACTAAAGTGCAGAACTGGAACTAACAGTGTCCTGTATGAGGATGATGTGTGAGTGTTTAGTGAAAAGGACCGCCTGACAAGATGTGTAAAAGCGTGAAGACCGTAGCTTGGGAGACGGAAACCCTGATGGGTACGCCGCCGAAGTCAAAGTGGGATACACTGTGTCCCAGAGCGGCCTTGTCCCACGTGGGACTGTTCGTCGCGCTGATGTTGTACACTGCTGGCGGTGGATTAGTGAGTATAAGACTTGTATTGGTTTCGTTATTTAATTTCATTTTGCAGTTTCAATGATTTGGTATCACTTAATTTCTCATATCGCACTCATCTCATATACACTTAAATTAGTCCTCATTTATATCAACACGCACTGCAATATAATTTCATATAAAGAAAACGACGTTGCACTCTGGGAGTGCCGGCAGAAGTGAAAACTTGAATATTAACGTTGTCCACATTTGATATTTTGGAATGGTTAGGGAATAATTTTGCACGAATTGCTTTAATTATCAGTAATACGTTATATACACGAATTTTACGAATACACAGCAGTGTGGCCACTACACAGACGGTCGAGCTGTGCTGTCACCGTCCATGGATGCGCGTCGCACGCTGTAACATAAACACACACGAACAGTCGCGCAAGCGCCCTGGGCCGCCTAAACGAAACAGCAGGCATACATTTTCACCGCGCCGTAGAAAGAGAGGGGGATACTTTCTCTCCTACGCCGCGCCGGTTGTCTACTTTCCATTCGTCTTACGCATTTTAGATCAGGTCACGTGTCCTGACGCGAGTTTAACATTTTTTACCCATTACAAAAAAAGTGTACAACGCAGCTAAAGAAGTTTTCGTCTTACGAATTTTCGATCAGGTCACGTGTCCTGACGCGAGTTTACATTTTTTTACCCATTACAAAAAAAGTGTACAACGCTGCTTAAGAAGTTTTCACTTCAAAAAATACATTGACAATGAAAATTTTGCGTTAATATTTTCTGATTTTCAGTTTTATATTTTCACCCACCCAACGCGCTAATAAACACATTTAAAGGCAAATAAACGTTTGGCATTGTTTAAATCTAAGATGTTCGCAACAGTTGCGAAAATATTTTCCGATTCTATGTCATCAGATGTTATTTATATAATTTGTATCACTCACTAGCTAGGGAGCTGGTGGCAGTAAATTTTATATGATTTCATCGTCTGGCAGTCCGGCAAATAAATATTTTAGACAAAATATGCCATTATATTAATTGCTGCAATTTCAAAAAGGAGCTTGCGAAAAATGTTAATAAAAATTAAAAAACAATATTATCGCTTTTGTCGATAGTCTTAATTAATACATTGTATTTAATATAAAAAAGCTTGTCTTTTTCCTGCTGTGTTCTAGAGTATTTTTTTCCTTATTATTATGATGATATATAAGAAATAAATGACATCATCGTCAGGCAGACTAAAAAAATACTTCTGCCACTATGATGACTTGAAAAAGTATTCATTTGACGTTGTGGGTTACCTACAATGCGAAGAGATGGCGCTGCCTTGCAGCTTAAGGCTAGGAAAATTTCGACGCGGCGAATAGGGCTGTGGTAGCATAATGGTCAGTGCATTCGCCCGGATTTCGAAGGGTGCAGGTTCGAGTCCCGTCCGCTGCCTGGTCCGCGTGGATTTTTTCTAGTAAACTTTTCTTTAGATATATATAACAAGATAGTTTTTGCCTTTAAGATTAATATTTCTATTGGTTATGAGAAACATTACATTGAAAAAGGTAGAAAAAATAGATACTGTCTTTTCTAAGGCAGAAGTATTTAACGACCTGAGGACAGCTGCAAGGGGGTACAAATACACACTCACTAATATTATTTGTGTATATTATATTTGTTCGCATAGGTATAATAGAAAGCCAGAAAGAATAGGTGGTTTAATACCGGGAATGAAAGCCATGGAGGGAAATATAGATGCTCCAAAACACGTGAGACGCTCCAAACAAAATTAGAGTTGTAGATGTCTGCACCTTTTTTTTTGATTTACAAATACTCTACTAAACAAAAATATTTTTTGATAACACGGTGGGATGAAACTTTTATAAAAACTTGATTTCTGCCAGCTTCAATTTCATTATTTATTAAAATAGATATAAATTCAATAGATATAATTGATGACAGAAACAATAATATAATTTATGACATGTTTTTTCTTTATTATTTCGAAATTACTAAGAAAAAAAATCAGAGGTACCTAAGCTTGCCACTTATTTTTTCTAGTGCCTATATTCACTACATAACGTCTTGGTATCAACGACGCGACGTGACGGTGAAATCATATACATACCTAAATTGCCACCAGCTCCCTAGCTATAACGCGTGTAACTATTTGTTTGTATTATTGCAGTGCCAAACTTACAGGTGCAAAACTACTAGAAACAAAAGTATTACAAACCCAGATTTTTTTATCGTTTTTGTAGAATACGTTTAGAATAAAAGTATAGAGGATAGGTCTTGCTCGACTCTCGCTATTAGTCTCAAGGCCACTTCGTGATGCAGATAGGAGAGCTGCAGGTTAACATCAAGAGAAAAGAAACAGGACAGCAAAGCAGTCTAGAGAAAGATTAGGTCTGACTCATTATTTGGAGCATACTTATATGCCAAGGAAGAATATTTTTTCCATTCTCGGATCTGTTCTGTTGATCTTAACTAAACTGATCAATTAGCAGTGCCGTATGAAATCTTGTATGCAGCTTCCCTTCTAGAATAGTTTCATATTGCTTTAATGGATAAACTGACCGTTATATTTAATTTTAAACTTTAAAATCAGGCTTTACATCAAAAGTATTAGACCTTATATTATTTTTATAAAAACCAAGCTTTTATATAAAATAGTCATGTTTAAATTAAACGAATAAATTTTGGTTGTGCTATATAGGTATTTCAAATATTGCTAGGTGATCACCTGATTATATCATTATAAGTGATTGTGGAGAGTCCGCTACGGAAATAACGTAAGCCGGATTTGGGCTCATAAATCTGGTAGGTAATAGAAGGATTACAGTATCTAACGACAATTTAAATGCCATTCATTGGACCTTAACTAAATTGGAATATCATTAGGCTATTTCTTATCTAGAATCAGAACAGGACAACATAATACATAAAAAAATCAGTTTTAAAATACTTAGGTACTTATTGAAAACTACGCTACTAGTTAAAAATAATAAGTGCAATATTATTTAAATATACGGGTGTTTCAACTAGTCCCTAATAAAAAAGTTTTTCGTTGGTAATTTTATTTACCTATATCTAAGGAGCCTCTCACACAATAATTGTTTTTGTTCATGACTGCTCTTAATGATATTTAATTTGTCAGTAAGATCCAATGTAGGTCACGTCAACTATATTCGGTAAACTGTAGCTAATGAATCACTGTTTTGTTGTTTCGCTACCAACAATAACCTATCCATAACAAAAGTGACGTTTTGCTTGTTAAAATAATAAAATTGTGTTACATTATCAGACAGGGAGCTGAGGAGCTCGATGGTGCAAGTGGTTAGCGCGTTCCGCTGCGATCGTTGAATTTAAGCAACTTTCGTAGTGGTCGGTCATTGGATGGGTGACCGAAAATTTACTATCTCGAGCTCCTGGCACGTTAAGCCGTTGGTCCCGGCTGCTTCTGCAGTCGTTAGCACCCACCAACCCGCACTGGGCCTGCGTGGTGGGTCATGGCCCAATCTCCCTATTCCATCCATAGGGAAGGCCTGTGCCTCAGCAGTGGGGACATTAATAGGCTGATGATGATGATGATCAGACAGGGATATTTAAAATGTACACTATATTTAAAATATAAATATTATAATTAACAAAATAAAATAAAGATACGTCACATATATTTATTAATAATATAACGCACCGCCAAGGCAAAGAAGAATATCTCATTACAATATAATTACATGTTTTTATTGTTGAAGCAGTCAGATTTTATTAGAACTAAATAAAGGCTTGTACTTCAGCATTTTTTTAGACTACAATTTAAAACAAAAATAATTCTTATGAAGCTACTCTAACTAAATACTGATGTCCTTATGACAAATAACTTCGCACAAAAGTAACGGAACTACTTAGGAACTAAAAATAACAAGTTCATTAAAAATCAATAAACTCATCTTCATAAAGGCAGATAGGGCTTTCTTTTATTTTCTCGGATTCATAATTATCAAAGTTCGTAGTGTCACTAGGAGAACGAATTTTTGGTGTAAACGGTGGGCTAATTCGACCATTCAATAAACTGTCCCAGTCAATATCTTTGTACCATCTATGATTCTTCAAATCGAGAATTCCATCTCTGAGATTCCCATAGCGACGAACTGCCTCCGTTTGAAGAAGGTGTGAGAGTAACTCTTTCACTTCACCAGAAAAATGTGATGGACATTTATATTTACCTGACACAATTTTCTCATATATCCTCATTTGATCGGTAGAGTAAAATGGTGGATATCCTGCACACATCTCGAAAATAAGTACTCCAAAAGACCACCAGTCGACTGATTTACCGTAACCTTTACTCAGAATAATTTCCGGTGCTAAATATTCAGGAGTACCGCAAAGTGTCCAGGTACGGTTCTTGAGAACCTTACAAAAACCGAAATCGGTTAATTTTAAATAACCTGCTCGATCTATCAATATATTCTCTGGTTTTAGATCACGGTAAACTAAATCACATGCATGAAGATATTCTAAAGCTAATAAAATTTGGCCAGAATAGAATTTCGATAAAGTTTCCTCAAATTTACCCATTTTGCGAAGGTGAGTGAAAACTTCGCCGCCAGCTACGAATGGTAAAACAAAATATAAATATACGTTGTCCTTGAAAAAATATTTCATGTAAACCACAAAAGGAAAGTTCAACCCGCACAAAATCTTCTTCTCAGAGAAACTATGATCTATTTGCTTATATTTAACTACTTTAGACTTTTCCAACGCTTTCATTGCGTAGTGTTTCGAAGACAATATATGTTTTACTAAGTAAACAACACCGAATGCTCCTGTGCCCAAAATTCTATTCAATTGGAAGTCTTCTAATTTAGCATTACCTGGGGCCTTTTCGTTCCAAGACTCATAAAAGTCTTCTCGTAGTTTTTGCAAATACAAAGTATATTGTTGCTGTTTAGCCTGCGAGTAACCGTTCGTGGTGTGTGGAGAATGCAAATGACGCTTTATTGCATCTGTCATTTTGGAGTATTCAATTTGAATTTCTATTAAAATTCTATTTTGGCGTAGTATGATGGCAGAAATCTTCGAACTTCACTTTATTGCACGATTGACATATTTTTTTAAAATTCGACAAATATTGTTATATTTTCTTGGCCATCTTTTCCATTCGTGAGATACTTATAGAAAGTTACCATTTCTCACAGAAATGATTATTATACACCATAGACTCGGATGGTTTATGAACATGAATTTTAATGGATCAAGAATTACGATTGTTTTGGTCTTTGTCAGTTTTGTAACAGATGTAAAAAGAGTAATAAAGATATTCTTCTTACTTCATTACGCTTTACATCCATAGATAATATTTTACATCAATATGATTTTTTTTTTCTAAAATAATGATTTTGAGATATTTATTTTATTTTATAAGTGATAGTTTTACTTGGGTGCATTATTTAAATGGACTGTAGTCTCATTACACTGGTATGTCCAAGAATTACACCCAACAGAATCATCAGGACCATACTAGATATTTGGAGCTGCTAAAATCTGAATTTGATAAGAAGTTTTCTGAGCTGACACATTGTGATCAATCTCCTGATGATTTTGACAGAATAAAAGCAATTGGTAGTGGTGCTTACGGTGAAGTATTTTTAGTAAGACATAAAAGTACCTTTACCTATCATGCCATGAAGGTAGTTGATAAACAAATAGTCGTCGAAAGACAACACGTGAAGCACCTAATATTAGAAAAGAAAATATTACAATGTGTTCATTTTTCATTCCTGATTTCATTGGACCTTGCTTTTAAAGATAATTTGTATCTTTACTTTGTATTGCCGTATATATCAGGAGGGGAAATGTTTACATACATTCAAAAATACGGCGGCTTTTCTGAGGCTCTATCAAAATTTTATGCTTGTCAAGTAGTATTAGCATTAGAATATCTTCATTACTGTCACATAATTCACAGAGACATCAAACCAGAGAATATTCTTGTTGATTCCAATGGATATATAAAACTTTGTGATTATGGATTTTGTAAAGTAGTGAAGAAGAAAACTTGGACGTTATGTGGTACACCTGAATATTTGGCTCCAGAAGTTATAATGTCCAAAGGTTACTCTTTTCCTGTTGATTGGTGGGCTGTTGGTGTATTAATATTTGAAATGCAAGCTGGACATCCGCCTTTTGTTGCAAGTGATCCTAGCAAACTGTATGAAAAGATTCTCGATGGCTCCTTCAAGTTTCCTGATTCTATTATACCAGATTCAAGGAGTTTAATAAAGGGATTGCTACAAACGGATCCTTGTAAACGCTTGGGTTGTTTGAAAGCAGGAGTTTATGATATTAAAAGTCATTTGTGGTTTGATGATATTATTTGGCAGTCTATATTACACCAGAGAGTTGAACCACCGTTTGTTCCAGTGTGTCCTTCACCTGGAGACACAAGTAATTTTCCAGACATGAATCAGCCTCTATTAAGAAAAGCTTCTCATTGTCATTATGAAAAAGAATTTGCAGATTTTTAACAATTTTCGTGATTTTAAACCTTTTTCAGGCAAAGATGATGAAAGTGGTTTTAGCTGTTTATACAATTATGGTGTTTTTTTTAAGTGAATTTGCTTGCTACAATATGCGTTGTAATAAAATTAAACAATGATAGTTTTTGGTTTTAAATACACAAATCATGTTAGATTGCAAAAAAACAATCGATTCACCTATATTGTACTAGATTCCAAATACTAATAAATCCACAGTCCAATTCGGCTCATTTTTTAAATACTAGCGAACGCCCGCAACTTCTTTAGTTTTTTTGAGAATCCCATAGAAACCTAGATTTTTTTGGGGGAAAAAAGTATCCTATGTCTCAATTCAGATCAGAAACTATATGCGTACCCATCCAAATCCGTTATTGTGTGATGCAGACAAATAATAATAATAATAATAAATATTTCCAACACTCACATCAATTACCCTAGAGCCCCAAAGTAAGCACTGAATGAGGCTTGTGTTATAGGATACTAGGGTAATGGATAGAATTCATATACTGTACATTTAGAAGTATATTTTTATAGAAATGCATATTAAACATCCATGACTGGAGTACATTTGCCCCCACTTATAATATTTTATGTCAATAATTGTTTAATCAAATGTACAAACTTGCAATTTTATTTTTCACATTTATAATATTAGTAGGATGCTGATGCTTGGCTTCAGTGAAGGCTGTAGTTTAGTTCTCGGGAATGTGTAATATACATAGTGATTTCTTTGCGTAATTCATAAGATCTAAGCCTACAGACAGCGGGAGCGACTTTGTTTAAATACTATGATGAAAACGTCTCATGATGAAAATAAAACACGCACTATATAATTATATTATTTTTGACTCGTGTCTCATTTAACAATCACTATTCGAACATTATTGCATATTCATATTATATGAGCAGTAGTATTATTCGAACAATAACAGGTTATGAGAGCGAAAACAGCGCACAGCTCAGTGCTAAACAATTAGAATAGCTTTATGAGTAGTTCATATAAAAGTAAAGATCAGATGCGAGAAGAATGAAAAAGTTGAGAGCATTGCTGGTGCCCTTGCATTACTGTAGAATACCGGGCATTTTGCATGGGGCAATATTGGTGCTTTTAATATCTTATCCTACTATGCACTCGGGACACGGCGTGAAGATAATATTTACCAAAAATGGAAACTGTTGCGCATGTACGGTTTGCGGTTCCGATGGTTAGTGACCATCGGAACCATGGCGGAGACATTGCAGATTTCTGCAATATTCAGTAAAAAGTAAACGGTACATTAAGTGAAAACATCTTCTTAGAGCCTGCGCTGTGTTAAGCGGAACTTTTTACGTCATTTCAGTTTTTACGACTCCCGCTCAGTGCTATCGCTTAACGTAGCGAAGGCTCTACGTGGCTCTAAAATGCGCTAAAAGAAAATGTCGTACTACCCTGATTGAGGGATACGTCTCAACCGACTTCAATGAATATCTTCAAAAAATTTTTAGAACCCCAACCAAAATTTATTTTCATTTCCTATTGAAATTTCATTCATTTCCATTTATTAAATTACTATTGAACTCTCATAGCATAGTATACAGTTCATTGCCATATATTCCATAATTGATCAATCAAATATTTAATAATTATAAATTTTAATGACCCGTGAATGGTTTTGATTGATTCTAGGTTTTCCGTGCATTGGAGTATCCTGCAGAGTTGGCGAAACAAAGCTTCCATAGGGAGAGATTACAGACAGAAAGATGGAACTTGATACAGTTTGTTGCACAGCGCAATGGAAACATAACGCTAGATCCTATAATTGAGAAACAACTTAGTGATCACTTGGCTTTATATGAAAGAGTAAGTTCAAAATTAGAAGCCTTAAATTTAATACATGCAATACTTGGTTGTATAACCTAATTGATTCTAATATTAACTTTATGAGGAAAAAATATTATTGTTAAATTTATGAGTAATCGAAATTTAACGAAGAAGGTATTTTTAACATTAAAAATGTTTATTCGTTCGCTCCAGTAGGCCTCCATTTTCGCAGAACGTGCAACTCGCCCGTGATACCCCAAGGTTTAGGGCGAGGTACGAGGACGTATGAGGGTTAAAAAGCCGCGGAATTTTAAGGGCTTTAAGAAAATATATTTTGGAATAGTCAAAAACTTGTTTGGATATAGAAAAACCCGACTTTTTTCGACCGAAAAATCAGATAGTTGTTAAGGACCTTTTCTAGGACTTTATATAATACTGAGGTAACTGACATTGGCCAGAAGTTGGCCGGGTCTAAGCGATCCCCTTTTTTTGGGCACCGGTTGTACGTTGGCATCTCTTCAACTCTCCGGCACACGCCTTAAAGAATACGAGAATTAGTACAAGCGTGTGAGCATGAGAGACAACTCCGCTGCACATTTTTTAAGCACAGCTGCTGGGATGCCATCAGGTCCACTAGCTATCCGGACGTCGAGTGATTGCAGTTCGACACGAACCTCACACTGCCTGATTTTAATATCAGGCATCGTTGTGCCACAATGAGATAATGATGGTGGCAGAGCATTGCAATCATCGATAACTTACGTAATTCTTTTCTATTTATGCAATTTTCCAAATTAATTTAGATATATCCAATATCACTTGTATTAGATTATCAAAATTAATCTAGTTATTTCATGCTCAAGCAATAATAAAAAAAATCCAAACACCATTAATTGGTGTGTGTTGATTTTTTTTATTACTAGCCCCAAAGTAAGCACTGCAGGCTTGTGTTATGGGATACTAGGGTAACGGATAGAATACATATCCTGATACATTCATAAGTACATTTATATAGAAAATAGATATTAAACATCCATGATTCGAGTACAAATGCTGGTATTCATCACACAAACAGTATCAACCGGGATTCGAACCCGGGACCTCTCGAGTAGGCGATAGCTCGAAAACCGGCATACTACCACTCGGTCACGGAAGTCGTAACTGTACAATAATACTGAATGTGAAATTCTTTTTTAGGTATTAGAAGAAGCGTCATCTTGTGGTTTAGCTTTAGAAGTAGAGAGGAATTTTCCAGCGGCCGAAGAAAAATGGAGCATTTTACAAGCCGTGTTCTTCTCTTCCACTGTGCTCACCACAATAGGTGTGTAAGACCATGTAAGCATTACTGTATTAATTGTAATAAGAAAAAATAGTATTTATTTAAATAATGTTTTTTAATCTCTTCCAAATATTGATTCTATAACAATATGTTTACAGGATGTAAATGTTTATATCTTGTCATCTACAGATTTTTTCTAGTACCTTAACATTTTACGTAGATTTAAAATGTAAAAAAACATTTTCTGTCTCTTTCAAATCGCAATTATTTTCATATTTGTAAAAGTGTTCCTAAAATTTTTTCATTCTTCTAGGATATGGCAACATTGTGCCTGAAACATTTTGGGGGAGACTGTTTTGCATTGCGTACGCGCTCATCGGAATACCTTTGACGTTGACAGTCATTGCTGACTTGGGCCGTGTGTTTGCTACTTTCGTATCTTTTACAGCTAAACAATTGCCTGCTATGCCTCGTAAGTTATTTATAAATAACTTCATTTCTGATCGTCATTTTTTTTTATTTATTCATGATCGTCATTCAGTTTTGTAATAAATGATATAAATTACTACCTGGATACTTAAAATAATAGGTTGGGGAAAAAGTCTTTTCGCATTAAGAGCCCTTTCACATTTTTTGCAAAAAATCGTAATTTTTGAGCGCCTCGTTTACCACCTTAGAAAAGATTTTGACTATTTCCAGTAGAAGTAAACAGTAGATTTATTTTTGTTATTGTAAGTTAATGTAGAATATTTGCAAACACTATTTTCCTTTTTTTGTACTGATCGTTCTACTGCACCATCGATCGATCGTACGGAAAAAAACGATAATGTGCACAACTTCAAACGCCTCAATCTCTCAATAATGTTCAATAAATTAGATCAAATTAATTATTACGACATCGGAAATATATTTTTATTGTAACATAATGTATTAGAATTTTGATTTTTCATCTCCTTAATTATCAAAAAAAAAATCTAACGTCCGTGAGTTTTCCCAAAAAATAATGCAGGTTTACCCTGTATTTTGCATTATATAAAATTACTATCAAAAACTTATAAAATAATAATAACTCATAAAACTAATCTACCATCATTGAACTACTGAAATATGTATATTTTTTTATAAATAGTTCATTAATGATTATTTAATAAGACTCGAAACATCACCCGTTAAATGCAACATATACTAGTGCAAATCTACCTACGCGCTTGATCAGTACGGCAGCGGCGCAATTTTGTAAAAGCTTGTTATAACATCTCTTTGGCTATCTTTGGTATCTGGCTGGTTTTGGTATCATTAAAAAGTTTAAATTTAGAAAAGGTAATTCCAAATTCTAATTAGAAAAATGTGTTATTTTCATTTGTTTTTCTTACTTTCATGATGAGTGAACCTAATGAAGAAATACGATACCTTTTAAAATTTTATTAAAAAAAAGAGTTAAAAATGCAACGGAAGCTGCGAAAGTAATTTGTGATGTTTATGGACCTAGTGCAGTGTCTGTGAGAGTAGCACAAATTTTATTTAACTGTTTTCAATCCGGAAATTTGATGTCAAAGATGCACGTCGCTGTGGTCGCCTTGTTACGGATAAAATGGATGCCATTTTTGAAAAATGTGGAGCAAGATCGGCATATCAGTAGTTATGACGTAGCTGATAGACTGGGAATAACTGGATTTTGGCGCATTTGAAAAATACTGGGTACACAAAATAAATAAATAAATATTTCAATCACTCATACCAATTAGCCTAGGCCCAAAGCACTGTAAGGCGTGTGTTATGGGATACTAGGGTAAAGGATAGAATACATATCATCATCATCATCATCAGCCTATTAATGTCCCCACTGCTGGGGCACAGGCCTTCCCTATGGATGGAATAGGGAGATTGGACCATGACCCACCACGCGGGCCCAGTGCGGATTGGTGGGTGTAGAGAGAGAATACATATACAGTACATATATAAGTATATTTATATAGATATACATATTAAACATCCATGACTGAAGTACAAATGCTCATATTCATCACACAAACATATGCCCCCACCGGGATTTGAACCCGGGACCTCTCGAGTCGGCGACACCATGAAACTCGGCGTATAAACCACCACGGAAAAACTCGGCCACGGAGGTCGTCAAAAAAGCAAAAAAAGCTCGATATTTGGGTGCCTCACGAGCTCACTGAAAGAAATCTAATGAACCGTGTACTCATTTGTTATTCTTTATTACGACGTAATGAAATCGAACCATTTTTGAAGAAGCTGATAACTGGAGATGAAACATGGATCACGTACGACAAAAACTTGCGTAAAAGGTTGTGGCCAAAGGCCAGTAAGGTTTCTCAGACTGGCGAAATTCGGGTTAACTCGCAACAAGGTGATGCTGTGTGTATGGTGAGATTGGAAGGACATTATCATTATGAGCTGTTGCCGCCAGGCAGGACAATCGATTCTGAACTCTAAGCGCAAAACGGATAAGATTAAAGCAAGGAGTTCACAGAAAATGGCCGGAATTAATCACGGAAGGAGTGTGGTTTTTCATCATGACAACGTTATACCTCACACATCTTTAGCCACTCAGCAAAAATTAAGAGAGTTTGACTGGAAGGCGTTAATGCATCCGCCGTTATAGTCCTGATCTTGCACCTTCAGATTTCGAACTATTTTGGTCTCTTCAGAATTCTTTAGGCAGTGCCAGGTTAACATCACGAGAGGACTGCCAAAACCACTTGTCGCGGTTTTTTGATCAGAAGCCCTAAAATATCTATAGCAATGGGATCATGTCCCTACCTACAAGATGGCAAAAAGTTATAGAACAAAATGGCACCTACATTCTTTAGTTCAATGTAAAAATAAACTTTAGTAAAAATGTTTTGAATTTCCATATAAAATGCGAAGAAACTTTCCCCCAACCTAATTTAAACCTGTAAACATTTGTGATTGAAAAAAAAATTAAGCTTAAGTTTGCGCATTTGTTTTGTTCTTATGATAAAAATTTTTAGCAGTTAAATTATCTTCCTCAATTTTGTGACAGTTGTAGTGTGTGTGTCACAAGTGTCATATTCAAAATATTTGTTTCAGAATGTTGTAAGCGGGTTTCAGAAGCAAATCCGGCAGGCCAAAGGTCCCTTTACGCTTTAGGAGCTGTGGGCTTCCTTTTCGTATATTTGTCAGCTGGTGCTGGACTTTTTAAGATGTGGGAGGATGATTGGACATTCTATGACGGATTTTATTTTTGCTTCATAACTATGACAACTATCGGATTTGGCGACTTAGTGCCCAGTAAGTGGTACTTTCTGAAATCCTCTTTCTTACCTATAATTTCGTATCTAAACCGAAAATCACTAATTTATGAAGCTCAAAATAACGATAATTCTATACATACACAGATCTTTATCAAATATTTATTTAATGTTGTAATAAGATTTGTAGAATGGTAGCTTGATAAAAAAAAATGGTCGGTATTTTTTTTCGTAATCACTGTTAACATTACTGGATTAAACTACAGACCTAGAATTATAAAATAACTAGCTGTCACAGCGAACTTCGTACCGCCATAAAAAATAGGAGTTGGTGGTAGAAGGGTGAAAATTTTGGATTGTACGTATTTTTGTATGATGTATCATAAAAAAATAATGACAAAAAAAAATGACAAAAAACAGCTTTACAAAAAACAAACTTTTTTACAACAACTGGGGGATGGAAAATAGATGTTGTCCGATTCTCAGACCTTATGAATATGCATTTCATGACGATCGGTGGAGCCGTTTCGGAGTAGTTCAATTACGCACACCGTGACACGAGAATTTTATATATTAGATTATTTTCTGTATTTTTGCTTAGTATGCGAACTAAACATTCTATTTCACGTGAGTTAAAAAGATTTTTATTTGGTTTATTACAAATTAAGTTTTATTAAAACTGATATAGTATTTTCAGTTTAGCATTAATCATTAACATACCAAGCAGTGTTCTTACATCGTTCCCGCAATTGGTATTCTAGCTACGATTTTGGTCGCGTTTGGGCTCTCGGGTAGTTAAAGAACTCGCATTAATTAAATCTACATCACGAAGTTGAAACGATATTACTACTGATGATTGTAAGGTTTAACTAGATTAAAAGCCTTAAATGAAATTGAACAAGGTTGCGAGATTCGTAGTAAAACATCAACTCGTATTATTATTATTCCTGCCTTAATTTGATGACTTCAGACTTCTAAAAGTTAGTTGTATTTATTGACTTCGTCGGAGACCAAAACCAAATAACTCTGATAAATTGAGTACTGCATAGTAAACCACAAAGGTTATGAAGATGATTTACTAACATTTGTATTTAAATAGATACATATATTTACAATGGAACTCACTCGATTTCGACTGCATTCCACCTATCTTGCGCTAAATTATAATATAGTATTTTTTTTATTAGAAAGGCCGAAATACATGCTCCTCTGCACTCTCTACATCCTAATTGGCTTGGCGCTGACTTCCACCATCATAGAATTGGTGAGACGACAGTACGCCAGATCTTGGCAGCAGCTGCGGGCTTTATCTGGCCCTTTGGCTGACACTCTGAGAAGACTTGGGGATGCTGGTAGAGGGGTCGATGTCTCCGACCTTCGGAAAGTTCTTACTGTGGTAAGTACAATTCAATGTGTAATAGATGTGATATAGACTATGTCGTCTTCTGAAATGTTAGGATGTCATTCCTCTCTGATTTTTAACAATACGTAGATATGTCTACTTCTATTGCATACATATTAAATCCACTGACATAACGCCGAATATAGGTCAAATTAGACGTTATGGTATTTGCAAAAGTATCGTTACCGCACGCACAGTCATCATCATCAGCCTATTAATGTCCCCACTGCTGGGGCACAGGCCTTCCCTACGGATGGAATAGGGGGATTAGGCCATGACCCACCACGCGGGCCCAGTGCGGATTGGTGGGTGCTAACGACTGCAGATGCAGCCGGGACCAACGGCTTAACGTGCCTTCCGAAGCACGGAGGAGCTCGAGATAGTAAATTTTTGGTCACCCATCCAATGACCGACCACTGCGAAAGTTGCTTAACTTCAACGATCGCAGCCGAACGCGCTAACCACTTGCGCTATCAAGCTCCTCACGCACAGTATCATACACAAATGATTATGTTCCGCCTAAATTAATGAAAAAAATATGGGCATCATTTGTTACTGCAATAGATTGTACCGGTTTGTTCTTACTTTTTAGTTCCACGTTCCCCGCAGTTGTATATTGAGACTTGGTGTCGCCAGTCGCGGAGTCGATGTGTCTGACCTTAGGATTCTCACTGTGTCAAAGCACGATTGTGTCTCCGCGTTTCCGGGGCAAGGCTGCGAAGTAATTCTACGAATAACCTAGACCAGATATCTACATAAAATGCCTGTAGAAGCGCAGAACGAATAAATCGATTCGGTACTTGCACATTTGGATTATTTATAAAGTCATTTTCGGTTTATTTATATCTAATACACGCGTTTATATTATTTGGTGGAAACGATTAGGAGTCTTAAAAGTTTAGCACCTATATCTACCGTTCGTGTGGAAAAGGTAGTGCGCGCCTAAAACCATTTTCATATAGCTCTTTAAGATTGATTACGTCTAAGTAAGAACCGTAGTCATCGTTTTATTATGCTTTGATACCGATCTATAAATAAATGTGTGTTGATTCAATCTGATTCGCTCCAAACCTTGCACGTACGCGTCTGAGATCAGTGGATTGTGTTGACAGATGCCTGTCCATCTTGTAAACATTCATCTTGACTAGAGTAAGATAGTGAGTGACGCTTTATTTACATGCTTATGTAAGCGGAAGAAGATTCCAAGTACTTTACGTTTTATATACAGTTTTAAACTGGGAGAGTATTATACATTAACAATAAGGATCTTTTGAGTAGATCACATTGGGTATTGTCATATTAGAACATTATTATCATCCAGATAAATATGTCTCACATGCAGCATAATAAAGCATTCCTACAACACCACGTGGTTCAAAAGCTCTGAAACTGCAGATGCAGCCGTAACAATTATTTTTACGCATCTTTCCAATTATAAATGATCTATATCTAAATGTATTGAAGTGGTCACCCATTCGATGTCTGCCGTTTCTTAACTTTTGCAATCGCAGAGTGGGAACACTTACAATGATTGCGTTACCGAACTCTTGATTCGATAGATCTAAATCTATTTAAAGCTTCGAGAAATACGGTACAGAACCAATATTAATAATGTAGAAAGTAATATATTTTGTATTAAATGCTGTAAGTTTTTAATTTAAAATGAAACTTGTAACAAATCGTCATTAAGAAAAGTAGGAATTTGTTTTTCTTCCGTGAAATGCGACAACATTATTTGGTATTCGGATTTAATTCGGGTCGGCGCCATCTTTCTGGTTCATTTGTTTGTATAGCAGTGTGTTTCAAATTTATTTGCTGCTGAATAACTGCGCTAAGAACATGAGCGTGTGTATTTATTCCAAATAAATTATCGCCTTGAACCTTTTTGCGTTTCTCTCTTCGAATCGTTTAAATAACTGCTTTATTGGAACGTGGGAGCATGATAGTAATCCATTACAAAGGAAATTAGTAACATGACATGATGAATGTGAAATGCTGAAATCTAAGTTTATTAGCTCTTCGGACCATAGCTTCATCTGGGTATAGTACGGAATTACATTCTTTTATAAAAAAATGTTGTATAAAATGTCAAAGGTGGAAAAGAGCCCGCCTGAGAGTTTCACACAGACAAGGTACAAAAATCCTACCTGACCTGGCAGTGGTATTGTGTTACTGATAGTGAGTACGAATTTCAGTACAGGAAAGATAACGCCCAACCAGGAGAACCACCAGAGATTTCGGAAATTGAGATGGTATTTTTGTATAAAAGTAGGTATTGAAATTCCCAACACTTCTTTTTTATTTTAGTAAATTGCAGCCTTGAAAACCCGGGGCGGTATATTTGCAATTAAATATTAAAAACCTCAAAAGCTCGGTTGTAGCCAGTTTGTCGGATCGTACAAGAACTTATTGGCCCAGTAGACGTATTCTAAATTATTCGGATATGTTTATGTGTTATAGACCTGTAAAGAATATTATCTTAGCCTCACAGGAAATCTTTTGCAGTATCCATATTCATGTTCTCCACAAATAAAGAATCTTTATTTTCCGAAATGTTATGCAAACGAAAAACAATGTTAATCAGTAACTAACTAAATATTTATTGTAGATGCGCTTAGAATCGAAGAGCTCAAATGCGGGGTAGTTAGTGCTTTTATTTTATAAAAGCTTACTGTCTACAATCGTGGAGGATAAGCAACTTTCACAATGGCCGGTTTTAAGATGGGCGACTAAAAATTTATAATCTCGATAAAAGCTAACGGTAAACGATGTATGCAGAGAATATAAATAGGTAAAAGTTTTAATTACCTCGTTTAAAGAATTGTAGGTAAATATCTTATTCAAAGATTCTGACCTTGCACGTATTTCCTTTCTAGAGGCTGTTAATTGGTCAACCTAATGAGCTCCTAGTGGCTAATGATGTTGTCGGTATGAAAATTGCCGTCATAATGTTTGCGTTAATATTTAGGGTGAACCATTTAACTGTAAATATAATTTTATGTGTTAGTATTGGTACGGCCACGACTAGAGCGAGTTCAGATCGAGGTCACACCGTATTTCAATGTCGCAACGGCTGCTACCCTTTTAGTTTAAGAGCCCAATAAAATTCGGCGGGCTTCCGTACAGTAATGCCTTCTTTATGTTTGAATTTTTAATGGCATCTTAAGGCAATGCTCACTATGGGTAAACTTGCAGGTGTTTCGATGAACATTATTGAGTGACAGATCAAAACGGTTCTTAATTAGATCGCAATGTGACCTGTAACCTGAAATCATTTATCATCATCTTAGCCTATCAATGTCACCAGCGCCGAGGAACAGGTCTTCATTATAAAAAAATGTAGTAAGACGTGACGTCATGCGACATTTCAAATCAATATATCTTTGTAATGTTTTGATTATGTAAAAAAGGAAAAAAATACGTGTCGTAATGTTTTGACGATATACCTTATAATAATAATAAAAATAATAATAAAAATTTATTCCTGACTTTAAATCCATAGACAAGTGTTAGTAACAGACGTAATCTTAACGTAACGTATAGACGAAGGGTAAAATGTTAGCCATCATCCCTATCGATGGGTGCAAAAGCAGCCGGCTTAATGTTCCTACCAAAGCATGGGGAGCTCCACATCTTAATTTTTTTGGTTACACACCTTATTGCGTTATTGCAAAATTAGCCTAGTTTTCACGATCCGATTGCAATCAAACGCGCTAATTACTGGCCATCAAGCTACCCCAATCAATCATCATGTGCGTAGGTAATTAACTTAGATCCGCATCAAGTTTCCAACATAATGTTTATAAATTGGACTTCTCATGGAAGGACGCTAACGATGTCTGTAGGAATGATATATTCAGAGTGGAAGGGTACTTTATCACTACCGCATGTTTTAAATCTAAGGAAATAGATACACAGCGTTTTTTTAGAGCGCTTTTTCGTAAATTTTGCCTTAATCACCATTTGAATAAGTACTAAATGTGAAAAAATAGACTTGGTACTGAAGCCGCTTAGAGTAACTATTACTTAAGCAAGTCAAATCCCTAAATCAATAGAACCGTGTGACAAATTATGCTGAGCAGCTCATGTTGAAGGAAAAGTAAGTTTGCCAACAAAGATTAAAATTGATTGATATGCCTTGAATATGCAAGTCACTTAGAGGAAAAAGTTATTCCCTTGTCAATGACGATATGGATCATCATTTGATGAATTTCTTTATTTGACGGCATTACCAACGATTATTTTATAAATGTAAAAGCATCAAAGAAAAATCAATGTAAAACTACATAGAATTTAAAGATTTATGTGAATTTATTTTATATATATTGAAACGAGCGTTGTTCTTTAGAAGTTTCCAATACCGATATCGTAAAAGTTTGCTCCATAAAAATACGTCAGACCGCTTCGAATAAAAAAATGTATCTGAAAAGATCACGTAATGATTGGTGACGTCAGACATCGGAATACTATGGATTGAGTAAACAAAATATGAAAGCTTACTAGAAAAATCTTTCGTCATAAATGAGTTCCCTCTTTTATTTAGCTACTTAAATTATTTCGTCACAAGTTATACTAAATTGTTATATTATACTAAGTATATTGATAAATTATTATAGGAACTTATGATTTTATTTCGTATATAGGCTTTTCTATGAATGTTTCAATTACTTTGCACTATATTAGGGAAAACAAGAGCATTATAAATCTCTTAAGGGTTCTTCTTCTTCTATACGGTGGGTGTTTTCCGCAACTCGACACCTGGTGCTTATTTTGCGAGGCTTTAAGCTCGTATTACAGAATGACAACTAAGTGTTGATCTTTACTTGAGTATAGTTAGAAAGGGATGCCGCTATGTGCAATATATAGAGACATCCCTCTCTAACTGTACTCAAGTGAAGATCAGTACTTAGTTGTCATTCCGTAATACGAGCCTTAGTCATGCCATCCCAGCTCCCCCAAGAAGCTCAGTAGTCTCTTGGTGACCCTTCAGGCCT